TATTGGTAGTTATTGCAGAAATCTGGTGCGCACATCGACAACCAACACAAAATCCGGCTTGGTTGAGCCTCGTCCCAGCGTCACGCACACACTCGAATCGCCTAAGGAGGATAATAGCGAACGTCTTCGCAGCAACGTCAGGACAGTCCTGGCATCGCGTCTCATTTTCCTTCTTGTAGCCAGTTACAAGGATACTTGAGCCCCAGTCATCAGGAACAGCCTTGTCTATCCTCGCTTGTCCAGTCATCTCATGAATCCAAGGCGCCAGACTGTCGACACAAGACTTTGATATCAGCGAAAATGCCGTCCTGTCCAGTCGCCTTGTTTTTGCAGTCTTTGTATGGCGTTGGCGCCTTCTCCTTCAAATGCGTCGTAGGACACTGGACAAGTAAGAAAGGGAAGAGACTCGAAATGAACGTTCACCTGACCGCTAACAGAACTCATCTGCTCCGCTCTGCCTTAGGCGTCGCCAGAGGCCTTGATAGACGTAAGACTTGCAAGTATAGGCAGATAGTATTGCTGGCTGACGATGGTTAGTAAGCCAGTAATGGCCATTCCAGTCTCCCTTGTCTTTGCCCACAATGCTATCTGCATAGAGGGGACAGACTCCGATGTAGGTGGGAGCAGGGGATGGTGAGTTCGGTATCGAATTTGAGTAGGTTCTCGAAGTGCCTACATCAGCGGTTGACTTTGGCCGAGTTGTCTACAATGAAGCCGTCATCCACATCACGAACTGAGTCCGTCAGTGAAGATAACCTACCAATAAATTTGCGGATAAGTAAGTACAGTTTTTGAGTATGACCAACGCTCGAAACGTATTCCATAGAGGTCGCTATTTCAGTCTAATGTTTCTTACGGTACTCCCTAGTCGATTTTACCATCATCTGTCTGAGTTGGCGGACAGAATCATCCCTATGGCATCTCGGTCGCTGTGTGAGCAAACAACTGCAGGGTTTTTCTGCCGATCCAATGACTACAGCGTCGCATGATGTATCCAAGAATTTTT